CTCGAAAGTTGCAGGAAGGCTACATCGCATGTTCATACGTTATCGATGAACGATAACACTTTCTGTACAGCATGTAATCCGTCTGATGAGTGATATTTGTTAGGAAAGATAGACCGGGAGAAATATTTGTTATTATCTGTTACTCTGAAGCACAATGTCCGCCAGTTGTCCTGGACATCATGTATGAATTGGTTCTGCATAACTTCTCAGAACGGTCATTATGACTTTAACTGCAGAAGTTCAGCTTCTCACCTCAGCTAAATAACGGTGAAAGTGAGCTGTTGTTTTTGTTATTTGTCATCGTCATCTTAGATGGGGTAAACTTAATAACCAGTTTGTGACAACTTATTGACTTCCTACATTTGGGAGATGATTCAACAAAGGGCATACTTTTTGTCATGAATGGGTTTGCCAGCTATTATACCTCCCTCTTCCGAGATCTGCTTCCAATATGAGGAAAATTCCTTTACTGCTGTCTTATGAGCTATTTCAACAAGCATGTGAGGCGTCATTCGTCTAGTTAATCAGGGAAGTTAGGTGATTTTGAGTGTGTGTTCTTCTTCACTCTTCAAAGAGGAAAATTTCTCGCCCATCACAAGGACAGGGAAGGCTCCCAGAATCTTGCTGCTTCAGTACTAAAGAACATCCATCTAACAACATTCTACAAGAAAGCGGGGACATTGATAGGCGAGTAATCACAGAGAAACTCTCGCCCGCTGTCTTTGACAAAATACATGTGCATATTCCCCGTGTTTACAATTGTAATGAAAATGTTTGTTGTAGATATTGACGACTGCGTAAATGTCACATGCAGCGGCGTCGGAACTTGCATTGACGGTATAAACAATTACACATGCGTTTGTGGCCCCAGGTTTACTGGCGACATGTGTGAAGAAAGTAAGAAACTAGTTTTTTCATGATAATTTTGTCCTTTCGCAATGCTGTTTTCATTCACAAGAAGGGCCTACTTTGTTTGTGCACAACTAGCGGCAGTTTCGGTCTCACTTTTAGACGTACAAAGAAAAAAGTACACAGTACACCCACTTCCTTCCATCGCAACGAGGCTTCGATAAACGTTTGGCGCTTCTGCTTTTCTGTGCTCAGTCGACAGAGTCTCTAACTCAGAACCTCAGAGCTGAGATGCCCTGGGTTCTAACCTTGCTCGGGTCATTCGCCTTACATCCTTCTCAAGAAGATAAATAGTACACTACATTGTTCGAAAGGAATAGGAGGCTATATGCTATATTTGATACATGGTTACAGACATCACAATAAAGTAAGGAAAGTTAGCTGATGGTACGGGAACGAAGATCAGCGCCGCTCCACTGCTCCATTACAAGAGCTCCATAAAGGATGCGTGTTACTAAAGTATGATGGACAGACAACAATGGTTGAATACATTAATTTTTCTGAAAATAATAGCCCATTGCAGCAGAAATTGTCAAACATAAGCAAAAACAATCACCAACAAATGATCATAATCACATGACATCAACGTAAAACGAGCTAAATGAGTGTCTTATAGACATTTATAATGAAAGAAACTGGACCTGAACAGTAAACATTATTCCTTCAGAAGTCATATATGAATAATACGTAATTCGTTGCCAGAAGCATATGCATCATTGAATGCGAAACAGTTACTCGAACGCTCCTTAAATTTCAGAAATTCATACGTGTGCCAGTGGACCATGTCTAAACAACGGAACGTGCATGGAAACATTTGATTTTTACAACTGTTCTTGCTTACCCGCTTTCACTGGTGCTTCGTGCGAAACGAGTGAGTGTTGAGTCTTGTACAGTTATTCTCAACATAACTTAGATTTCCGTGATTATGCATGTAAACATCTTTTAGAGATTCACTCATGTGTTAGTGAACCATGCCTGCACAACGGAACCTGCCATGATACTTTGGATGCGTACAACTGCTCATGCCATCCAGCTTTCAGGGGGAACACATGTGAAACGAGTGAGTGCTGTCGCCCAATTCAAATATGAAAGAATATCTACGTTCTAATTGTAAGATCCACTCTTGCGCCAGTGGACCATGTCAGCATAACGGAACTTGCAAGGATAGTTGGAAAACATACAACTGTTCCCGCTCATTAGCTTTTACCGGTGAAAATTGTGAAACTAGTGAGTACTAAATAGCAACAGGGCATGATTAGAAAACACAATTGAGGTCACGAAATTCAGGTAAAGAAAAAGAAAAAAATCCGTGATATTTACATTACGTAAATATAAACAAATAACAGACATAGAAAGAAAGACTTGCCCAAAAGAGAAATTTCAAACTGCATAGACAAAAACAGAAATTTAACATTTTTGCGAAATATTCTTTAATAAAAATAGAGCCATCCATAATCTGTCAATAGAGATGGGCACATAGTACAACAAAACAAATCTTAAACTGCTTCTCAATAATATGCCTATAAAGAAACATGCCAATATAAACAATCTATCGAACCAAGGAGTGCATAATAGATTAAAAGAGCTGAGGCTAATCGAATAGTCACAATGCCTAAAACGTCATTCCTGAGCAAAAGATTGCAGAAAAAGCAAAATAATGTGTTGATATTTGGGTTCCTCATAACTGTAGCGGTTTTCACAGGTACAGAGTGTGACGAGAGTTAGAATATTAATATTAAAGTATTGCTAACATGATCTGACGAGGTTCCTCACACGTGACAAAAATTTCCACAAATTAATTAACGCCAGAACAACTCTGTAAAAAAAGGTACGTTCATTTATCTCTCACAATCTTTACCTCTTGTTTGCCTTCATGAGAGAAGTTACCAAACAAAGAAAAACATTTCAAGAAAACCACACGGTCCCATGCCCCACTGAGGGTTTGAAAACATCACGCAATTTACAGAACTGCATTCATGCGTTGAAGAGCAGTGTAAAAACAACGGAACGAACCACGACAATTGGCATTCTTACAACTGCAGCTCTTTAGCAGTTTTCGCCGCTGCACAATGTGAAGAGAGTAAGAATATTTATACTGTCAGTTCTCGCTATACACTGTATAGTTGATAAAAAATGCCGCAATTCATAGAACGTCATTCCTGCGCTCAACAGCCCTGCAAAAACAAAGGAACTTGCATAGACACATGGGATTCGTACAACTGCAGCTGCTTAGCTGCTTTCACCGGTGCAGAC